CTATTTGCAGAAAATTTTCGTAGAATCATAGAAATGTTCAGGTTGGAAAAGACCTTTAAGATCATCGAGTCCAACCGTTAACCTAGCACTGCCAAGTCCACCACGAAACCATGTCCTCAAGCACCACATTTACCCATCTTTTAAATACCTCCAAGGACGGGGACTCAACCACTTCCCTGGGCAGCCTGTTCCAGTGCCTGACTACCCTTTCAGTGAAGAAATTTTTCCTAATATCCAATCTAAACCTGCCCTGGCGCAACTTGAGGCCATTTCCTCTCGTCCTATCACTTGTTACTTGGGAGAAGAGACCGACCCCCACCTTGCTACAACCTCCTTTCAGGTAGTTGTAGAGAACGATAAGATCTCCCCTCAGCCTGTCTTTTATATCTTTTGTGGAGATATAATTACTGTTTAATTCTAAATAATAAAATAGAACAATAATAAAACAATCTTTCTTAGCTGTTCACAGAAGAAAGAACACTCCAAAAAATTTTACAAATACAGGGGAGGAAAGCCAGTAAGTGTTCTGGTTTCATCTGGAATAGAGTTGATTTTTTTCTTCTTAGTGGCTGGCATAGTGCTGTGTTTTGGATTTAGGATGAGAATAATGCTGATAACACACTGATGTCTTAATTGTTGCTAAGTACTGCTTACACCAGTCAAGGACTTTTCAGCTTCTTATGCTCTGCCCCATGCACAAGAAGCTGGGAGGGGGCGGCTGACCCAGCTGGCCACAGGGCTATTCCATACCATATGGCATCACGCTCAGTATATAAACTGGGGGGAGTGGGCCAGGGGGCAGCTATCGCTGCTCAGGGATGGGCTGGGCATCAGTCAGTGGGTGGTGAGCAATTGCATTCTGCATCACTTGTTTTGTATATTCTTTTATCATTATTATTAGTATTTTCTCTTCCTCTGCTGTCCTATTAAACTGTCTTTATCTCAACCTACGGGTTTTACTTTTATTTTCTGATTCTCTCCCCCATCTCACTGCACAGGGGAGGGTGAGCAAGCAGCCCTGTGGTGCTTAGTTGCCAACTGGGGTTAAACCACAACAGTAAGACAGAACTTTATTCTGCTTTTTCATTTCAGGGAAGTGAGAAGAGTCTCCAAAATTCCAGAATTACTTTTTTTGCATTTTGACATACACAATCCACTCATTAAAGGCTCACATTTGAGGGCTAGCGTTCATATTTAGGAGTTGCAGTCTTGGCCTCTTAATCAAATAATTGTTACAAGATTTTTAAGAATATTTTGTATAGATTCCTTCTTATTAGACTGAATCACTTTCTGTGCCTATTAGGTGATCTTTTTGAAAATCAACAAATAATTGTAATGCCAAAAACCACTGGAAGGGTACCCAGTGCTGACCATGCTCAAAGATCAATTTGCAAAATAGGTCCAATGTTGGGGACTTCTCCATTTTTAATAACTGACATAATTTCTAGCCTTTTGAGCTTAAGACTTTAGGAATTTGCAGTAGCATAAGATGCTACCAAGGAGGTATGATGATAATTTTCAAGCTGCTGGTGGTAAAGATGTAAGTTTGGTTGGAGGTTTTTTTTTTTTTAATAAACCACAAAAACGTTCTTAAAACTGCATTGTGCAGAGTAATGGCTGGATTCTGTATTGTTTCCTGAGATATTCCAGCTCCATTTCTTATTTTAGAAGTAGTCTATTTTTAGTGTGGAGAAACTATGAGCTAGTCTTACTTGGGATTGATCCATAAAGAGAAGGAAATATTTTTATTTTCTTATTTCCCATAGGTTCCAAATGTGTTAACTTAATACAAGAGAAAATTACCCCCTGCTAGCAAGTACATGCAGGCTTCAGATCTCTGGCTCAATAGAAATATCTAACAGCAAATACAGGATGTTAAATCTGGCCTCCAAAGCAAGAATAAAGCCTCTGAGGTAGATAGGTAGATGAACACTCAGCACTCAAGAATAGTATTTGTCTACCATAAAAGATAATCACAGCATACAAAAGCACAGAAGTTTAGTTTTGAGATATAAAAATAAACTACTGCTTTATCTTCTTCTCAATCTGTCAGCCTTTCCCCATTTATTGCACTTTTGTTATCATTATCATAAAAATCTAGATTCCTGCATAAATCTAAGTTAAGAGAAAAGAGGAAGATTTCTCTAAAATATGGGATATTTAAGCCTTCATACTGACCACATGTAAATATATGCAAACCCAATAAAAACTACTAGGTCTCCTGTCAACGCTAGGAAAGTAGGTGACTCAAAAGTACAGTCTCCATACATAACTTCTGTCTTTCAGACTATAGCGTGTGCACTGCCAGTTGAAAAAAAAAAACAACTTTGAGGTTTTTTGTTTGTTTGTTTGTTTTTTTAAATAAGTTCTTTATAATGATAAGCATTAAACTTTCCTCATTATTAGTCTAGTTCTCTGAGAGGAAAATACTTTGTGGGAAAATTTCATGGGTCTTGCTAGCACTGTATAAAAAACAACTGTATGTACGCCAGATCCTAAATAAGTAAAATTCAGCATCATTCTGTTAAAATAATCAGAGCAACAGTGTTTGGCAGTAGAAAGCCCATATACTGTCAATTTTATTTAGCTGAGATTCTGTTCAGACCTTATGCAAGCCACAAGATAGTTAGTCTCCCTCAAAGAAGGGAAAGAATAATAATCCATCAAAGCAGGCATCAGTCAGTCATGGAGGAAGGCATATTCTCACCAAATTCATCTGAATTATCAGTAACTCTGGGGTTGAAGTTAAGATAACTACAAGTAACAAGTTTAAAATAATCAGTGACTCAAGGAGTTCTGGCCAAATTGTAAGCAACATGTTTAATTTATCAGAGCTGTAATCTGTCTTCTCTGATTGATGATTCTTAGCATCATCTCTCTAAAGAGCTGTGATGTCCTATATAATCAGTTTTATAAAGTTATTATCTAAATGAAAACTTTTGGTTTAGCAGTTGGACAACATCCAAAAGTAGATGTATCGGTTAACCAAAAAACCCCTAATCTCTTCTCCAAGTCAAATTCACGTTTATATTAATGTAATTTTACATTGCCTTTTAGGCCCACTGAAAGTTCTTTCACAGCACAGAGTAGGATGTAGGATCTAACTGAACAGTCTCGTCTGAATCCAAGTAATTTTGTGCATAGTTAGAGGCTGTTCAGAATTATTTCATATGCTAGAAATGACTGGGATCAAGTGCATTTTTGATTCAGCAATGAATTCTAATGCAGTTACAAAAGCTTCTTTGCTTCGAGAGATACATTAGATTACTACCTTATACTTCAACAAGCTTTCAAAACATAGATGCAATGGTTTTAGTTTCTGCTTAGCTGTTACTTTTAGATGCTACATGACACAGCATATACTGTTTATACTTACTGAAAAAATATTACTAAGACAGGAACTGAATTTCATGAAAAATGTAGTGGCAGGCAAGCACCATGCTGAGAAATAGCACACACTCACCTCCTTGTTTTCTGGCCTTTCCTGTTCTTTCCCTCTTCTTCCTTTTTTCCTTTCTCTGCTATGTTCTGAATAGGTCTCGCAGTTGTTACTTGACTATCCGTTGACTTGATTGAAAAGGAGTAAGCACCTGAGGCTTTGAAAGGATCTGGCTTCTTGGACAGGGCTACTTCATTTCTCATTTATTGAACTACTGAGCTGGCAAAGTCAAGCAGCCCAAACTAATACCAGCTTTAGTGATCTCCAGTTCCAGATAACTTCTTTTAGTGGTTTTTTCATTTTACTTTTCCCAGCAGGAGTTCTTCATGTCTGTTTCTGTATTCTATTTTACCCTGCTTTAATTTATTTTTTTCCTACTTGGTATTCAGTGCTAGCTAAATTTCTCTGCAGACCTTCGAACTATTGCTTGGGTATCTAGCTTCCTGAAACTTGATTTGTACCCAGTAAGAGCTATACACTTTTACCCTTCTTTAGTTATTTTTTGTTTTCATGTACAGAATTCTACAAGACTCATTTATTTAAAAAATTCTGCTTTATTTCTTGTTATTTCCCTTTGCTTATATCTGAATCAGTATTGTAAGTTGTCAGCCACAAGTAGGAGGAACATCTTTCATTATGTATCTCCTTAAAGGAGAGATCAAATAATAATCACGTCAGAAAAAAAAAAAATACTTGAAACAAACTACCAGACATGTGTGTTATGCAAATTAGAATGAATATAACAAGATTTTCAAAGCAATATAGAAAATACCATGTACATTTTAATTTCATGCATAATTTACACAAAACAACAAGATACAAGTAATAAATTAAGTCATGATATACCTCTTAACACCTTTTAACACAATGGTGTCATTAAAATAGGCATCAATGACAAGCAGGTGTAATTGAAATAAAACCTATTAAGAAAAAGGGATGTCATTACTTCTAAACAAACATAGTTTTTGGATAGAGGATTTAGTCAGTCCTTGAAAAAAAAGGGTTGAAAAGTCAGAAATGGCCTGCAGAGCACTAGAAGCACAGGTGAGATTTCACACCACTAAAATTTTAATCAAAAAGGGTTAATCAAGAGTTGTGGTGAAAATAGGTGAGCAGATGCACAGAAATAAGAAGACAAGCAATGAGGGAAAAGCAGTAGAAAAGAGACAGTACGAGAGAAGAAATTAAGCATAGTTGGTTATTTTTACCAATAAGATTAGTAATATCATTAAAGATTAAAAAAAGAGAGGAAAGTGCATCTTGGTGGTAGCATCATTTAGAGGACTGAGATCAACTCTATCCATCCTTTGTATTCTGTACTAAGGACTAACTCTCATACTGATACTGGTTCTTACTGTATTAGTATGCTGTGCCCTGGGAGCTATGCCATCAGCACAATATTTTGTGTTTTTATCCCTCAGAAAAGATTTTAAACACAAGCTACTGACATTGTTCGATCTTCCCCGTTTGTTATTCACTCCCAGTAGATAGGGCATGGGTTTTCCCCTTAAATGAAACTATTCAAAATTATCTCATCTGATGTGTCTTACCCAGGCGCCATCGCTGCCCTCATAAACCCACAAGGATTTATGATAATGGACAACAGCCGTGCCTCACAACAGAGTATGTGGAAAAATATCCCAAGTATAGCAACATCTCTCCTCCCCGGAGCCTTAAGCCGAAACAAGAGTACCAAGTGCATCGTGGGAAGATGGAAGGAATTACAACATTTAAGTAAACATTTTGAAGCAATGTGTTTTACAATTACTCTATAAAATTTCTCATACTTTCTCATTTAAGGGGGCACTGAACATTGTATTGCAATAATTTTCAAAATGCAGTCATTGCATCCTTTACCCTTTTAGCATATTTAAAAGTATAAATTTTGAGTGTAGAAATACAGTTACCACAAAAAAGTCATAAAAATAGTGAAGCACGCACACAAAAAGATTTGCATTCTTTCCAGCATCCTTTAACCTGTAAATATAATCTAAAATTTTTGTCCTTGTTTTCAGCCTGTTTTGGAAATCTAGGTCTCATTGAGCCTAAAAAAGCTGGCAAGCTGGGGAACCTTCTGTAATACGTGTGGAATCTGAAACAGTGCGAAAATGAAACCTTAAGAAAAAGGAACATTTTTTTTTATTCAGATAGTTCTAAATTATTAGGAATTTGAAGAAAGCCAACTGTGAAGGGGTTCAGTAGGTTTGTCCTGTCAGTGCACAGACTCTGATGTTAAGCTTACAAAATTAAAGAGCATCTTTCAAAGAATTAGAAAAAGACATCACTCATTCATTATTAATAATGTGACACGAGCATAAACCTTTACTTTTTCCATTATTGTTTTTCTTTTAAGCTATAAGGGCAACAGGTGAAACTTCTTTGTTTATAAAAAAACAAAAGGGACATACATGGAAAGGCCAAATGCCCTTCTGCAAGGTTGATCGTGTACTGCATATACTGTTTAAACACCTACATATGTAATATACACCCTTTTAATGTAATGTGCCCATATAGAAACGGTGAAATGCTGTTTCTGATTATTTTCCATTCTCCTCATGCAATTAGTAAATGCTGCCACTTGTAGTAATTTCATCTTTGCTCTGCTTCTGCTGTGGAGAGGTGACCACCCATGAAAACAACTGACATGAAAAGACTGCAAGGTATGACAGTGCATAGTTACTAAAAGTGTACCTTTGCTGCAAATGAGCACATGGAAACACTACTGGCTTTAGGGACAAGCAACGGGGGCAGTTACAAAGGCTCTGAAATGAAGTTAGGTAGATAATTTCTCTGTAAAATTACAGCAACTTTTTCTTGTTTCAGACATCTTAAAGAATATTTTAAAACTGGGAATGAGACTCAGAGTGTTGAAAAAGTTGTTTCACCATCTACCTTTGAATAAAGGCTATATCATGCATCAGAGACCCTAGATTTATGTACTGTGGTTTTCTTTCCTCCTTGCTATCCCTCTAATATATGGCATCAGATTGATTTTTGAGAGTAAACATTGTAAGTCGTCGTTTTTCCATATAATGAAAAAATGACAAAAGTGACTCCATCAGAAAAAAGAACGTTTTTTTAACCAGTGTTTCCTTTTTCCCAATTCAGATCTGATTATTTACCATATGATATTGTGAAGCGACCTTTTCGGGTACAAGAAGAATATAAACCAAAGACGGGAGAGATAGAACTGGGAACCACATACCAGAAAGATTATAATGCTTATAAAATACAACCAGTGACATTAGTAAGACCTCTAGAGAGAAAACACACTACAGGAGGAAAATTGGATACCATACCAACCTATCAAGGTAATAATACATGCTGCCTTTAGAAAGAGAAATAACCAAGATGAAGGTAGTATTTTGAATTATCTATATTAGAAACTCAGTTTCTTAGTTTGGGCCAGAGAGTAAGACATAATAGAAAGCAGGTGATAATGCTTTAAGATGTTCAGCATTCCAGTTGTTTAGAGGTGACATTTATTGGTTCTAAACGAAAAGCCTTCTCTAAGGTTTTCTTGGCTAGAAGGAGAGAAATTCTAACATACACCTGGTTAGGCTATCTCAGGCAAAAGTTGGTTGCAATTAAAGTGCCAATATACCTTTCAGATAGTTTTAGCTTATGTAACATGTATTTTTCCACAGAGTATGTCAAAAGTTGATTTTAGATTACTTTCTTATGTACTATATAGCTTGCATATCATCCTAGTAATGATCGGTTTTGACAAATTATTCTATTACAATGGTCAGCACAAAGACACTAAATCTAAACTCATTCTGGCAAGTGACCTTGATATACTTTATACAAGTAGAACATTTTATACATCAAATGTGTTACTGGATTTGTTACATGTACTGCATTGCAGCCCCAGTTGAAGTTAAGCAAAAATAAATGATATGATATACTAGAGTGCCAGGATGAAAATCAAGATGTTCCTGATTATGAGGGCCAGTGGCATCGGAAAGATACTTGAGATAACGAGAATCAGATTTGGCTATTAAAACAGGAAGTTAGAATGCTTGGTGCAAAATGAGCAGATGAGAGAATGCAGTGACAGAAAGAGTTGGAAGGATAATATTTGGGAAAAAAGGTTCTCAAAAAAAAAAGCCCAGAGTTATATTTCACTAGCTTCTTTAAGCTTAGGCCTCTGCTAGATAGAAATGCATTTATATAAATACATTCTATTTATATTTATTAATTCTAAATAATTTACAAGAAATTTAAATATTTCTGTTTTGCCCCTGTGTAAGTAGTAAGCTAGCAAATAATGAATAACTTAGCCTAGTCTCAGCATACAACTAAGACAGCACGCAACTGCTTCATTTAAAATGTATGTTAGCAGTTCAACAGGGAGTAAGGATCAAGGAGTGAAAAAACACTGAAGATGAAGTAAGTACAGTGATTGCAAGACAACAAATTGATTTCAACTGCCCATGAGGAAGTTTAGACTGGACAGTAAGTTTTGTAACTACTGCAGAACAGTCTGTTCGTAAAAAAAAACCAGAAGCAAAGAAGAAAAAAATCCCAACATGCTTTAAGATGATGTGATGTTGATATGGATATTATGAGAGAGAATTCTCCCAGTCAGTAGTGAACATGACCCATTGACCTATGAGGTTCCTTTTAGTCTTGCATATTTGCATAAACTTCTAAGTAAAATGTAAGATATTGTATATAAAACCTGTATAAGGCTATTTTCTGTATAGAACACACACTAAATATGTACATGCAACATTTTCTTTTTCCTTGAGGAAATATTCAAAATAGGGCATCATTTACATTTTTTTTGTCTGTTTTTATCACACCAATAATAGAAGACAGTTTTGTCATATCCCAAACATGCAGATAACATTCTCATTCTCACTTACATCCATTTTCTTTGTTTTCCAAGATTTAATACCAGAAGAATTTGGCTTAATTGTAAAGGAATGGTCTTAAGTAATAACACTTGTATGATGAAGTTTTGTTTTTGCCTTAAAGATGACTATAGGTCATGGGAAGTTCAAAGAAGGGAACCTAGTAAGGTGGAGCATGTATACCACCCACCTACAAAGAAGTTTGGAAATTCTACTACGTTTCAAGATGACTTTGTTCCTAGGGAACTGAATCCTAGACAAAGTTTTAAACCTCCTTGCATAGCCAAGCTTTCAGATGCACCTTTTGATGGTACTACTAGCCATCGCACTTCTTATATTGCTCATCAACTGGAACCAAAATTCATAAGACCAAAAGAAGAATACAAGCCAAGCAGCCAACCCTTTGAAGATCTCACAACCCACCGGAATGATTTTAAAGGGCTCCCTGGGCAACTTGCAAATAGCTGCAAGCCTGAAAATGCAAAAGTCAGATCTAATGCTCATTTTAATGGAGTTACTGAATTCCAGGATCGTTTTCAGCCATGGTTGGTCTCCTTGCCTGAGGTCCGCAAAACAAAAGAGTACGTTCCACCCCCAGGCAACATGGATTTTAACTCCACCAGCCATCTTGATTACGTTAAGCATGAGATTTCTCCTGCTGTCCCCATAAGACCAGTTTCTAATCGAAGAAGGACCGATGCCCCTTTTCAAGGGAATACTACTACAAAGGAAGACTTTAAAGCTTGGGGCAGCTGTCGGCAAGAGATTACTAAGAAACAACAGGAAATTCCAAAACCTACAGGAAAATTTTATGATTTAACTACATTCAAATCTCATTACATACCACATCAGATCATTACAGCTCGAAGTTTCAAACCTCTACATGCTATAGTTCCTAATTCAGCTCCTTTTCAAGATGAAACTATGTATCGCACAGAATATACTCCAAAGAAACAAGAGACCTGCCCAGCAAATTATCCATCTCCTCCAGGTTATGTCTATGTAAAAACAGATTCTCATGGTCACAAATTCTTCCGCCAGCTTACTCCAGAATTTTCTGAATCAAATAGTAATCCTATTCCGAAGGAAGTAGCTGTTCTGTCATAATGCTTAAATGCAATATTTCAAGCACCGTGGTGAAATAATTGGAATCCTACTTGTTTATTTTTTCTTTAAATAGCACTTAAAGCAAATCAAGTAATGTAAATTCTGATTTTAAAAGCATTTAAACTAATAGCTTGAAGAAAATCAAAGCAAAACTGTGAGTTTATTACAAGACTAGTAAAGATTGGCCAATTTTTGTAGGAATAATGCATCTTATATGGCATCTATTCTTTTTTTGATCATGCATTCTAGTTTCCTTGACTTCCCAGATTTCATTATGCTCCATCTCAAGCATATGTATTGTACATTTAATTCTTTCAGATTTTCTGCAAATCAAATGATTGTATTTGTGAAATAGCAAGTACCTTTTGATTATAACTTCTTTTTCATAGTAAGCAAATAATGCTATAATAATCTAAATTATTAGCTCATCAGTCCAGTTTTTCATCTCATCAGTACTTCGAGTAATCTGATAAGAAGTCTTTTTTCTTTACATTTTGCTGCCTGAATCATAAGATAGCATCCCATGACACCTAGGCATTTCTAAAAACCTGGTTTTAGCTTTAATCATCATTACTTTCCCTCATTCAGTTCTGAGGAGAGTATAAAGGTCACACTGTAATTTCTGATAGCAATTAACAAGAAGTAACCTTGCTCTTTTTCTGTACACATACTTGAAATCACGCAGACATAAAAAGCAGGTCATAAACTCTGTTTCCTAATTTCTCTGGTAGTCCTTTTTCAGCCTTGCTTCCAAAGGAAACAAAGCTGATGCAAAGCTTTGGACACACTGACACACTAAGTGCGTGTTCTCCCCATCCGAGTAATTTTTAAATCCAGTGTGCAAATTCAATGAAATTTCACAAAGAGATTTCACAGACGATTGGTTTTCGAGTTTCTGAGAGGGTAAGGAAGCAGAGAGAATCAGGTTCAAAAAGTTAACATCCATCTACCACAGTTTTTGATCCTGCTATCTGATTTTTAAAGCTAAACAGCCTGTTATCACTGCCAAAGTTCACTGCAGAGGCAGTCTGAAGGGGAAAATGGCAGAAAACTATACAGGTGTACATAGAGATAACAGAAAATAGTGCAAACTCAGTTAAAAAAAGAAATATCAGCAGAGATGCAGAAATCTCTAGACAGCCTAGCTTCAGTCTTTCTGCTCTTCAAAGAATTACTTGTTACAAATACACAGAAAACAGAATTTTTATAGAAAATGTACATGCAATGATTATGCTTCTGTATGAGATACTTAGTATTTTCTCTATGTATCTTTACCTTATTTTGGGAAATCTAGATGAAATTATTTCAGTCCTATTATGTTAATGATTTAAGCAAGTTCCAATCAATAGTTCTATGATTAACAGTATTATCATGTTCTATCACAGTACTGCAGTATGATTTTTTTCACTATTGCATATTTTGTACGCATGGGTATAGGGCAGTCATTTGGGTTCTGAAGAATTATGTGCTTGTACTTCATAAGCCAAATCACCAATAAAAGGACTAAAATCAATGATGGAAACATGTCGAAAGCAGGAACTGGATCATAGGCAAGGAAGAAAGCTCAACTGCGTATATTAGCTGTGCGTAAAAGCATTGCATGAGAGAGCTCCAGACTTTATTACAGCATCAGTTACTTTTATGTCATTTTTGTCTTTGTACTGTGTTTTTTGTAATATGACTTACTCTATTAATGAAACAACAATTCAATTAAACTTTTCTCTCTGAAGATTATTCACTTCCCCAACTGGTAAAGACATGTTTTGGATTAGGCATGAGCAAGGGCAATGTAAAGCTGTGATATCCTAAGAGCAGGACAGGAGAAAGTCTAATTCATTGTCATCCTTCTGTACCACAGGCGAAAACAAACTACAAATACCTTTTTCTTTATGAAACTTGAGTCACACTCTGGCCACAACTGAGGAAACAAAGTCAAAACTTCGCAGAGTTACACCTACCCAAGCCCATTTCATATACATAACCTTGCTACCTCATGAGGAGTTTACAGAAGCTCCTAATATCCTCCAGATCTCTTTTCTAGGGAGGAAGAAAACTCATTGAGAAATGCAATCTGAATCCGTGAAGTTTCAT